ACATGCATCACCATTATATGCATTATATACATTTCACAAACCCGATATGTGCTGGGCTCTACCCATAAAAATAAATGAATATTTTATTATACGTATATAGCGTAGTGTTCATTCTTCCGGATTATACTATTACTTTATGATTTATTTATTTATTATTAAGTGTGAACTCGAGTTCACAGGTGCAGTAATCACGTGATAATGAAACATTATTGATTAGAGCAAATTATCTTGGCTATTACATATTCAATATCTTCCCAACTCAACTTCGAAATAGATGATGCTGAAAATGTTTTAATTCTGGCTATTGTTAAAAATACTATTAAAAGAGCATATATTTTTCGTGTTTTTTAGTTCACTTATGTGCAGATAATATAACACGGCCACATGTGGCATAAAATATATAAAATCACTGATATTGTTAATTTTTCGAGCTACATGGTATCCACCACTTTTAGACTACTAATATATGAGAGCCTTGAAGGTCTCTTTTGTGTCCTTGATTCTTCAAACCCTTCCATGATTTCTCGAGCTAGCATCTAAATTACAGTTAATTTGTTAATACAAGTTATTTGTTAAAAATGATGATCTAATCACAATATACTCACCGCCCACTTTATAATGCACTCATAAAATGAAACAAAATCCGGCATTTCCGTGAAATCACGTGGGAGATTCGCATTATCCACCTCGTTAAGGCGGAACTTCCTCCCTAACATTTATCGTTATCAACGGTCAATAGAGCAAGTAATATTTGTTTATAATAACAAGAACATAAATGTCTTACCGCAGTAATCCAAGAATTGTAAATAAACCCTAAGACGATAACTTTGCCCACCAAAAATGCAAAGTTTGGGAAATCGTCGCCTACACTTTATATTGTCTTTCACAACGTTTATATAAATTTTCTGTAGATTGTTCGCGATTTTTGATGCATCAGCAACCTCTTTGTCATCATCTGCATTTGGTCTTGAACCCTCCATATATACCAATTGGTATTTATCTGCAGTATTTAAGTAACCAACTCCGTCCGCACATTGATTTTTATGATTTTCGGTTCTTATCTCTCCAAACTCATAATTTATGGATGAGATATACCATAAACTAGTTTGTAAACAGGGATGAACAAAATTGTTTAAATGCGGTTTTTCCAGTGTCGTCAAATTCAAAAGAGGATTTCTTGGTCCCAATGAATATGCAATAATACTAAAAAAAATTAAGCCAATAATATAAATAAACGTACTTATTGGTAGAGTGAAAAATATTTGTACTTACAATGGTGGTAAGGTTCTACGCAAAATTCGTATGACTGATACCATCAACAAATCATTACGATCTTGACACTGCAGATCATCAATTTTGGTGTGCCAATCTTCGCCCGTCAAATTTTGGTTAAAAAACTGGGTCAAGAATTCGTGAATGTATGATGGAATCAAGTTCTCGATTTTATCATCGAGCTCCTTTAGATATGGTGACAAAATATTTAAGGGAAGTTCCTTGGTAAATCTTGAGTTAGGACGTAAATCAAGTAAGATTTCATCTGGGTATGTCTTATCGTGATATTGGCAAATTAATTGCATATTTTCTGAACATTTAACGCCGAGCAAGTCTTGGACTGCCTTTTTATTTGATTCCTATAGAAATAAATAAGATATTATTAAATGTATTCCGAAACTGTACACTATAGATAAGAATTGCGTACTTACAACAATTACTTTTGTTTCGACGGTACTTGGAGCTACTGAAGGTGTTTGCTAGTAACGGTATTAAAATAATGTCTTAATAATACAATTAATTATTGAACATGAGCAGACACCACGAGTATTATTAAACAATTACTTTACCTCATTATCTAGAATATCTTCATTCTCATCATCTAATCCGTAAGATTCAGAATTTGTTATTAGATCCGTAAAAGATTCCGCTTTTTGCTTATTCATACTTCTGGTCAGCCGTTGTCTTTTTTCGCCAACCTAAAATATTGAAATACAAAAAAATTAGTTCAACCTGAAGACAGTGACTGTATTCTTAACTGGGATTACCCTTTCTTCAACCTTTGAATCCTTTATGTTGGCTTTACGTTTTTCTGGGGGTTTCTCCAATAACTGTTCTTCAGCTCGTCCAATTTCTTCTTGTATGGCGATGCTTTTTATTTCACGCTAAAAATAACCATTCGAGAAGAAATAGTAAATACTGCCACATTAAATATATTAGTAATATTAAAAACGATACATACTTTGTGTACTCGATCCGAAATAGCAAGTGATTCCAATTTCTTGAGATGATTTTTCCATAATAAATCATTCGCGGAATCGTTATCACAGTTCTTGACAAAATAGTGAAAGAAGAGTTAATGAATCATTATAGATAACTTAATTGATGCCCACACATGCTATGATGAGGCCCGAAGACCCAGACCACAACATGTTTCCCCACTTCAGGCAAGAACACGAGTTGCCTTGTGTGAAAAATCACTCAGAACACGACTGCAGAGTATAGGCAAAATAACAAATAATAAATGTGCTACCAACGCATAATATAATGAGACCTAAAAAGTCCAGACTATATTATACTTCCCACTTCAGGCAAGAACACGAGTTGCCTTGTGTGAAAATCACTCAGAACACGACTGCAGGGCATGGTAATATGCACTTATAACAAAAAAAAATGATCCAACCTCCAAGGCTTTTTTCAAGGCGCTTGCTTTGACAAAACGACGATTTTTTCTTGGCAGATTGTCAAGAAGGATGTCAAGCTCAACACTCAGAGATCGGTGCGCTTCTCTTTTATTGCATCCAGGTACTTTGTCAATAAAGTAAATGTCCCAATCGCTTAAACTTCCCCAAATGTTTGGGTTTCGGCTCCAATATGCTAGGAAGAGAAAGCAAAGTTATTAAAAGATGCTTCTAACGATCATATGAAATTTGAACACAAGCTTACTCGGATGCTGAAGGTTCAAGTTTTCAATTTCGGACATATTTAGTGACAAAAAAACTCGTTATGTAGGATTTTGTTTTCACGCGACAATAAAAGCATAATTATGTATCACATGGGGTTGCTCCCATGTCACATGCATAGCCACTGTGTGACTGCCTTCAGCAAATTACGATCGGATTATCGGATTCACACTCAATTATTGCACTCACGAAACACGAATTAAAAATAACAAATAATTGATAACTTTATTGATAATAATTATATATTTCAACGTTATTTTTTATGCTACATTACAATGTAAAAGGCCGGCCTTGTAAAATTATTCATGGAGTAGGAACAAAGAGGGAGGAGTAAGCCGGGACCCTAGTCCCCTTCACATTGTAAAGTAATGGCTATTCCTTTCCCTACCCCATATTACTAGCTAAGTTATTTTTACTATCTATCCATAAACCGATCTGGTCTAATGTACTAATGTAACCGTTCCTTTTCTTAATATTTCTTTCATAAAATCCCTGGACAGTAGTCTTCTTAATATCTCCTCCAAGTGCGTGGATTTCCATCGCCACATGGAGACACATCTCTTCTACGGTAAATGTCTTTTCAGCCTTGATTCGATCGAAAATTTGCTTAAATTGGGTCCAGACGGTTAGACTAATCCCTGTGAATGTCAATTGACCCGAGCCTGCAATCAGACACGTAAGTGTCATCATTTCATAATAAAATACGTTAGTCGAAATTTCTTTCAGAGAAAGTGGGTTAGTTGGCATCACGAGAATTAATTTCGGCTCTGATTCCGCCGATTTCTTCAACGATAGTGTTGATCTTGGTATCACGAGAGTTTGTGTCATTGACGATTTTTTGCCTGACATCACACAAAAAGAACCACATGGTGATGAACCCTATACACAAGTGGATATTTTCGGGGAACATTCTCGCAATGATGAAAAACAATGAAACGGTTAATGCCATAAAAGGCATATTCTCCGAAATGCTGAATGAATGCATCTGAGCGAGAAAAGAAAATCCGATTAGAATATTATTCGTGGGGACGCACGGGCATTAATCACAACGAAGATACCTTAATTCAAACAAAGCTAAGTAGATTAATTTCTGTGATGAATTTGATAGTTTTATTCGAAGATAATTGCAAAAATTTATTAATTGTTTCGTTATACGTTATGTGCCAAAGACACTATTATTTCTGATTTTGTAGAAGGTTAAGATAACGAAAAAAATTCATCTTTTATAGAGAAAATTGTCGATCATTATTTTTTTATGCATTTCTTGTGAGGACTGGAACCCGCCAGAAACCATTTCATGTTAAGGCTGGAATTTGCTAGAAATAAAAGAATTACGTTGTAAAGATAACTACGTCAAAAAATGTATATAAACTTTTCAGTACATTTTCATTATAACAATAAAGAGTGTGTATAAAATATGGTTAATTGAAATATTCGCTACTCTGTCAATTGTAACTTTATTTATAGTGTGAATTCGATACCATAATGTATCTGTGATCAATTATACCAAAAAAAATGTTTATTCTGTCAATTAAACCGAAACAATGCCCATTCTACCAGTTTTCTGAAATAAAGTTTATTCTTAGTCCGTGCACGATTAACTAGTATCACGTTGATCCCTCACATGCAAAACAAGGGCACCTATGTGCCTGATCGACTCCGCATCCTGTGTGCCTCAAACACATGATCCGATCATGGGAAAATAGAAACGTGCTACGTAATACGTAAAAAATCTGATTATCGTGATCGCGGTTTATAAATGCAGTTAAAATGTCTTACTACAAACGAAATTATGCCAGGAGCGTCAGGTGGTGCATTTCCAAATATACTTATAGTTCAGAATAATCAAATACACCTACTATACTTCCCTTACTTTTATTTTTGACCATCACAAAGTTATTTCCTGGATTATATGTGTGTTCATATTTATGAGGATTAAGCAGATTCATATACTGGGATGGACTATCAGTGAACTTACCCATTGTTTTATGCATATTGTTTTGAGACTTAGCCATATTACCTATATACTTACTGCTTTTTTCGATTCAAATATCCCATGTTGTCTCTTTCGGTGCTTATTATCTTTGACATCTGAGAGAGATTTGTTGATTATATCCATAACCTCCTCTAGAGTTGGACCAGGTTTAGATTCCGTTGATTTAGACAAGTTATTTTTACGATGTTTTCGAATAGGAGAGACAACCTTTTTCTTTGTATTACGCATGCGATCCTTTTGGAATTTATATCGGCCTGAGTTCATGGGTTCTGAATTGGAACTAGATGAACTGGTCTCTGTCTCAGAATTTACCCATGGTAGCTTTTCTTTATTTATACAACTTAGTTCATACTCGATAATACAAAGTTTTTCAAAAATTCTATACTCTATATCATTTTCTATAGAATGGACCGACTTCCAAATATTATTGAAGTGCGTTTTGATTGAAAGATTACCACCTCCATCGCCTAAATCTATCTTGGGATATTTCTTAATCTTGCTAATTCTTCTATTTTTAGTGGAGCTGGCTTTATGACTCAGAGAACCGCCTGTGGGAGTGTTACCTTCTTCGATTAATTGAATACTCATACCATTTATCATTACAAAGCAATAATTCTTCGGGTCTGTAATAATACCATATTGTTCATAGGTTCCAGGAGAAAATTTAAAGCTTATTTTTGCTTCATGCGCCCATAACCAATCTTGTCCCAATACCAGATCGAACGATGAATTTTTGCGAATTTGAAAGTCTATTACTTCGGTACCATCTAAGCTTCGCCACTTTCTTTTATAGCGGAATTGTAAATCTAGGCCTTTTATTTCTTCGCCTATTATATCTTCATCAGGTATACCTTCTAATCCGTGATCAGACTCAAGCTTACTATACAAGCGCCTGCTAATAGTATTGGATTTAGATGTTGTATCAATTAATACTTTTACTGGAATTTTTCCTTTAACAATAGTATCAACGAACATGTTAAGTATATTTAATAATATATATTATCACGAAAAAATAACTAATGTCTGATATATAATTATACATTCTCAAGATCGGAAGGGTCAGTTGCAGATTTGGATGCACAATCCTCTAAGCCAGCTGAAAAAATTAAATATGGCAGATGGGTAGGCCGACTTGCTTTCCTATATTAGGTAAATAAAATCCATTAAACAAATAATTAATTACCCATTCTTCACTAATAAATGTGATTATTTTTTCTTTTTTACTCTGTGGCATCGTTTCGAATGTATAACGACCTTACACACGTGCTTATCATCCGATTCTGAACTAGATGTGGAAGAACCACTTGTATCGGAGGTATCAAAAGAACCAAAGGTTCGATGCTCTGCATCATCAGAGTTAGAAGAAGCAGATTCGTAGAATTCATCAACATATTTTTTAGTAACACACACTATAACCCTCCCCCCTTTCTTCTCGGCGAGATTTTTAATACGGAGAGTTGTTCTTACCCAAGCATCTTCTGCATCGGTTACAATTTCAGGTATGTATGTTTGGAGCTTATCATCATCATATTTGCGACTATAGAACCAATTATTACTGAGTAATATATAATTAGGCAATTTAAAGTTATATTTTTCAACTAGCACTTCGGTCGGGATTGTGATGAATTCATAATTACTAAGGCGATGATTGTTTATTATATTAGAAGTAAATGTAAGTGGAATTATGGCCAATCCAAGTGGAGCTGTTGTTTTTTCTCTGACGAATTTACTATCTTTTTCTTTGGGAGTTAACTTTCTGCTAATTTTACTACCGATTTTCTTGAGGAGCTTATTACTACACATAGACAAACTGAGAAATCCTGGTTCGAGGCGACAATTAACTTTTTGCCCCCCTACTTTAGCTTTGACTATTTTCGCTTTCATGATAATAATTTATATTATGTATTATATATCTTTGCTGAAAAAAAGTTAACAATAAATATTTATCCACTCTAAAGTCCTTGCCATGAATGATGAGTAGCTCGAGCAAGACTATTTAATATATTAATTCGTTCTGGTCAAGTTAAACTCGATGATACTCGGATATAATTCCCGAATGCAGAAATAAAATCTGTTTCATCTGGAATAAGTGAAGGTAAATCAGACCATTCATCATCAGAATAATCTGGATGTTCGATTTTAATTTTTGAAGTGAGTTTTTTCATCACTTCTTCACTAATCCCTTTACATCTCTTTAAACCAAGATATTCCAAATTAGTACAGTTGCGGGCTATTTCCTCAACAGCTTTATTACCAATCGAACAATCTCCAAGCTCAAGATGTCTAAGTTTTTGACAAGAACGCGCTATTTCAGTGATACATCTATCAGTAAGAGATCCGCATGCATTAAGACTCAGATGCTGTAGTTTCAGACAATATTTTGCAATTTCTATAATTTGTATATTACTGAAACTATAACTTTGATCAAGAATAAGAAATTTTATATTTGAACATGAATATAGAATTGCCTTGAGTAATGCATCTGAGATTTTTAAACTTGTCAATTTAAGATATACCATCTTTGAACAATAGAGAGGTTTTATTTTTATGCACATAACTTTTTTTAACTTTCTCAATTGCCTATAAAGAGGTCCAGATGTATTTTTATCACGCCGCTCCCATCGATAACCTTCTATAGAAAACTCAATGCGTCTTCATAGAATTGGAACACCGCAGTGGTACCAAAAGTAATTGACAAATAAAGTGGGGTGGAGGGATCGATCGATTTCTAAAAAATACAAGATCTGTTCTAGTAATTCCAGTAAATTAAAAATATTTGGTTGCGTCATTCTTAAGTTGTATATTATATCTTTAATCGAAAAAAACAGACACGAAATGGTCGGATAATTGCACATTTCTCTTACTTATCTAGCAAGTCTTTCCAATGTGCTTAACCTCACTACTAGCTCATCCAATGGAAGCTCTAATCCGCATCTTCTGGCTTCCATCTGGTTATCAGGTGACAACCCATGAAAAAAGAAGTATCTAAGCTGTTCTCCATTGTATTCGGCTAATTTACCACATTTTTCTACTTTTGCAAAATGGTCCATTACTGATTCATTTCCTTGCTCCAACCCCCAAATCAGATTTTTTGAATATCAGTGGGTCCGGTTGAAATAAATTTTAAATACTCAATTATTTCATTCAGAGAATTTTTAAACCCAAATCGAATTACTTCTTTTTTATTTTCTCGTGATAGACCATTGAAGAAAGTTTCCTTAAGGTCTTGATTATTTAAGTTGATACCCAATGATGCGGCATATACCTTTATCGTCTTGACATATTCATCCACGGACTGATTGTGTTGTGTAGGCGGTGGAATTCCTGACCCAATAACTAATGGTATAGCAGTTCCATCAAGGAGTGTAAGAATTTTATTTGGAAAGTCCAATTCCATTGCATTATCTTTAAACCATAGCTGACCTAATACCAGTACATATTCAGGACTATTAACAACAAAAATATTCGTAACTTTTACTTGTTTCCATTTAGAGCCTTGAGACGGTATTGAAATTTCTATTTCACGAATTACTCCTACTATATCGAGCTTACTAATAGGATTATATACTTCTACATCAGAGCTATCATCGATTTTTAAACCTAATCCATTTACTAGTCCCTTACCTATAATATTACAATCGGCACCGGAATTTAATACAGCTGTAACTGGTACTTTACTGATTTTGCAAGATAAAGTTATCATTGTGATTCTATATTTAATAATATATGCAATAATATATTTTTTACTTCATATTAATAAATAATAGTAAAGTTAGTGTCAAGATACATATTATGACATCGACAACAACTAAACCTACTATTGGTTCAGGTGCTAACTGTCAACTGTAACCGAAGAATTTGCTAAAAAATTGAGACTGGAAATTAATAGAGATGACCATGAATTTCTAAATACTATAAATACAATATCCAGTATATTAGACAAGTATCAAACAAAAAAATCCAGATCTCTTTCCGCAAATTACTGGAGATAGTGAAACCTGAGATTAGGCTAGAGATTATTGACTTAGTAGTAAATCTAGATATTTCTCAAAGAAAACGTATACCATGCAAGGCTAAAAGAAAAAAGAAAATTTTTAACGATACCGCATCTGAGTTCCCATCCACATCTGAGTCGGAGCAAGACTCTGAATCTGATATTGAGATTAGTGAATAGGTATCAGCGGAGCTGATATGAAGTGCCAAAAGTAAAGAAGCATGATTAGTTATCATCATAGAGATAGAATGGTCTCACTTCTTCAGGCTTTTGTTCCTGCCTTCTGTAGCTTACCACGACGTAATGTTGTACTGGAGAAGTATGATTGTCACTCGAATGACGTAGACATTCTCTAGCAATAGTATAGATATGAGCTAGATTCTCAGCTTTATGAACTACTGCACCATAAACTACTCCTAATTTACATAAGTATTTAGGAATTAAATCATAACCTTTTAAAAATTTATTGAACCATTTAACTCCTGGCTTACCTGGATTACCCATTCGACCAGAAGATATAGAATTCTGTATCCAGGTTAATAATTCTTTGGCTCGCTCTTGATTCTTTTCCATAGATCTAAATTTTCTAGGGATATCTGGTTGGCCCCTGTTCTTTGCATAACCTGTTACTCCGGCATCTGTGATATGTAAAGTTATAAGTTCAGCAGGGCAGATACAAAGTATCACCATAACATCAGCAAGAGCCTGATAATTAAGTGGGGTTTTTAAATCATACGTATTTAATCTTTCTTTGACCGATTCTAATGTAAATTCATCTGGGTAATCAATACGTTTAACTTCAGCCTTTTTCCAATTGACATTCTGGATTTTGTTAGCATCTTCTGTAATATCTGGAAATTTTGCGGCCTCAATTATATCAAATGATGCACCAAGGGTTTTTAGTTCTCTTCTAAGCCGTGAAAGACGTGATGAACCAGCATTAGCATTTGGAGCTGATAGGGCTAAGGTATAAGCTTCAGCTCTTATATCCCTAATACTAAGCTTATCCCGTAAAAGCCGATACACCATACTCCCGATAGTTTCTTCCTCCATTCCTTTCGAGGGTTTGTTAGAGATCACAACATTTACAGTCTTACTTCCATTTTCCTGGATTGAGAATAAGGCATTCACTTGATCTTTACTAAACCCATATCTATTTTGCAAGATTCATTTTACTATCTCTCTGACAATCTCTTCTTCCGAATTTTTTGGAAGTAAAGCTATGGCTATTCTGCAACTACCTTCAACAATATTTATAGTTTTATTAATCCCGCTTCTTTGATTAGGTATTAATATACTCACCTGCTCACTGCTAAATTTAAAGCCATCCCGAAGACGTCTTCATGCCTGACTCCTTTTTCTATCGTCTGTAAGATCCTTGAGGATCTCGGAGGTATATTGACTAAGTTCAGATGGATCAGTCTTGTAGCTGAGATTGTATTTTTCAACGATTTTTGTTATGATGGCTGACATGGTTGAATGTTATAGCATCAGTAATTATATTAATTCGAAAACCTTCGAAATTATATCGCAACGTTAGATTTCGAAGGTTATCGATTGTGTCG